CTACTTCCGTAGTGATACTGCCTCGGAAACCCAAGGAGGGGTTGCTATGAGTCGGGGCCGACTCGACGGCAAAATAACAACAACAACGACATTACCTAGTTGAACATCTCCTGTGTTTCTTCTCTGCTCTGGCAAATTACACCCATATACTAAAGGCTTTCCTCTAACCCCTGGTTATATCATCAGCAGGAGTGACTTCAATGTCTGTGTGCATGATCAAGCCCAAGAGCCTAGCCCCCAAATACGTGACTTTTTCAGTACAAAGGACCTTCATTTTCTACATCAGTCAATCAATCTCTCTTCTGTCTACCTTAAGCATATTAAACATCCAGCTTCTGATCACTACCATGTACTTTTATAAGAGTTTCATTTATAATGGACTATAACTTTGCCCTATCAAGATACCAAACTATTTTTTACCCAGCCCAACACTTTGCTATGGCACCATTACCCTTCCAATTTTGGCTACTGCCAATGGCATATAGTTCCAACTACTCCAACGTTAACACCCTATTCATAAGCCAGTAACGGTCCTGTTCTATCTGCTCTGCTAATACCCAACCCTGAATTACGTCTTGCTACTGGAGAAAAGGTCTCTAAATTCAGCTAGCCACTGTGTGGCACAAGACTCTGTATAATCTTTTGTGCAGTCCCTCCTTCACCCGTCCCTTTTGGTAACTTTCCAAACACTCTCATACTCTTCTTGTATCTCATATATAAACTCTGTGTTCCACAGAATACTATTAAAAAGTGTTTCCAAAAAAGTTAAGTGGTTGCATAAATTTGAGGAACACTATATACTATATAGCCCTTTCTTGGAGATTCACAATATGGCATCAATATTTCAAGTGATCTGTACTACTGTTAATAAAGAAACCTACTTGAGTTTTCCCAATTTATTCAACAGTGGTACCTCCTCCTTTCAAGGAGCACCTAAGTAACATCTCAAAAGAGACAGAAACAATGGTGTAGCAGATCTAAACTAACTTACTGAGAGAAATGATGGTTCAGTCATGAATGACTTTAACTTCTCCATCTGCACCAATACATTTCATATATCCATCTTTACTTCCTTCTAGTTTCTGAAGATGAGAGTTTTTCTACTTATTCAAGGTAACCCAATAAATATATTTTATTCTAATCCTTACAAGCTCAAAAACCAGACTTTGATAATTACCACTTTGCCCATTATCTTAAATTTCTTAAGGCCTCACTGAAGGCTTAACCAATCACTAAAGTCATGTTTCAGTCTCTAAATATTTGTCTTAAATCCAGAAAAATTTATCTTGAATTTCTACTACACCATTACCCATTAAGGAAGCTTTGGTAGCATAGTGGCTAAGGCACTTGACTGCTAACCAGAAGGCTGGTGGTTCAAACCC